TTCTTTAAATGAACTTTTACATTGTCAACAATTTCTGCCCGTTTATTCTGCATAATGCCAAGATGGCTCCACTGTGGGGGGGGGAGCATATTAGAACAACCCCCACTCCCTTTAAAAAAAACATTTACACTGTATTTGCTAATATTTCTGTAATTGCACTGGCCATCTCTGTCTGGTAAAAGTGGCATGAAAAGTTTAAGTGTGACAAAAAGCATAATAAATCTCCAAGGGGACGAATATCTTTCACAGCACTTAGTAAGTGCAAATCCGGTCTGTTCATTCCTAATGTTTCTCCAAAACAATGATCCACACATTTGAATTTCTGAGGACTTGCACAATCAGAGCTTCAAACATAGGCAGACTTCAATCTATGCATACATGTGTGATTTAAAAAAAACAACAACACATATATCTGGAAAATCTTGTAAATGAAAACCCACATTTTGATCACAGCTTTGATTGCTTCAAGTCTCTTAGATTGTTGCACTGTTATTGTACAGTTGGAGAAGAAAGACATGTTTTGTCTCAGAGAGTTTTATACTCTGAGGCTATTCAAATTTAAGCTCAACAATGGAAAGAGAATATGAAAAAATGTCTGAACGTTGACTTGGAGCTTTGGATGGGAATCAGGTGTAATGTATTGTATATTGTGTGCTGAAATGTCATTTTTTTCTACAGTTTTGTGGTTACTTTCATAGTATTTCAAGTTCAAAAGGTTCCTCTTTTTATGAAACTACAGCTGCAAGCATGTTTTTTTTTTCTCTTTATCTGCATGTCAAGGCATTACAAACATAAAGTCCAGGGAGATTAGTTCAGGAAGATATTTTGGATCCAAATGAATGAGATTTACATTTTATGCTGAATTTTAGTTTTCTTACTTTGTCAGTTTTTTTTTTGTTTGTTTTTTTGACCTGGACGTCCTCAGATTATCATTACCACATGTCGCTTTTCACTGTTTCATGCTTTCTCAATAGAAGGTCCTTGGAATGTCTTACAGGCTATGATAAAGAAAAAAAACAACATCTAAGCCTTTTGGACTTTCATGCAAACAAAAACAATAGAGCAGATGGTGTGATTGTTGTAGACTTCCTAATTTATACCGTAACAAACAAACTCCAGTACTCCATGTTACTGAGTAAAGCTAATGAGCGGTCATGGGTATTAGGTTGCACATTTCAGCCCTCCTGTGCTATAATGGGCATTCTAATAACAGTGCCGTTGATACAGCTACATATTTCTACAGCATTACAATAGTATTAGCAAATAGTAAATGAGTACGACATTTTGTCACATGAAACAAGCATGTTTAATAGACTGCATAAGTCTCTTTTTTTTAATCGAGAGTGTTTAAAAACATCAGCTTGACTGCTTAAAGGGCATGTATGGTGTATGTCAGGTAGTTAGTACTGATCAATCGTTACCCAGCAGCTCACCTGCTATATTAGAGCTACATGGGCTCCGACCATCAATACTCATGGTTATTACCTGTCATCTAGCTCCTCAGGTTATCATACAGTAGAAAACTCCCTGCTGTTTGATTGCTTTAGACATCCAGTGCAATCACTCTTACACTCACCAGCAACTTTATCAGGTTCGCCTTGACATGTTTGACCTCCGTGCATTTTAAATCTGACAGATTAAACATGATACGATGTAATGATGGCTTCCAAAGTTGCCGCACATCCATGACTCTAATGTCCTGGTTCACCACAGCCAAAGGCATTCTAATGGATGGAAATCTGGCGACTGAAGAGACCTCCGAAGTACAGTGAACGCAACGTTATTCCAAGAAACCAATTTTGAATGAATTGATTTTTGGGACATAGTTGAAGTAGCCATTAGAAGATGGGTTCACGGTGGCCATAAAGGGAGGACTTATATTCAGTCAATCACTGGTTGTAATGTTGGGTTATTTGAACTACTGTGACTTTATTTTTTTTATCTTCTCAATAAAGTCTACTCACTCTCCTCCAACGCCTGGCATCAACGAGGCGTTTCCGCTGACACAACTACCTGTAAACCTGATAGATGTTTGTGATAACTGCAGTATATCAGTGGTTTCTAAATTACTCTTGCCATCAGGTCTGAAACTAACAACGGCCTTTTCAATCCCCTTTTCCTTCCCCATTCTAACCCCAGTTTGAACTTCAGCAGGTTGTCCTCACAGCGGTTAGGCCCTAAATATAATTGGCTGATTCATTACAAGCGTTAAAGGAACTGATGAAGTGCATCTCATAAAGTGTCTGAGTGTAATTTGCTTTGCCTTCGTCTTGAGTCAGCTGCAGCTCTTGCAGAGCTAATAGTCTTTCAGCTGTAATTATGGTTCTGATGGAAGCTACCTGTTGCTGCTATGTGAGTGAAGACGCTAAGTAGCCTCAAACCTCCCCCGATACTTTTCCGACGTCAGTTTAAATAGGCTGTAATGCTTGTTTTCGTTCGTAGCTGGTAAACACAGATCATCACATGGTTTTGACTTCTAACCAAACTGGATCCTCTTCAAAGAGCTGCATCTAGAACAATCTTCTAAAATATGAACGATATTTAAAACCCTGCTGGCCCTTCGTGGAAAGCTACATGTAATGCTAAAAGGTTCCTCTCCCTTCTCTCATATCTCCCCGGTTTCCGTACTAAGCCTCATTGCTTTGGGCTGTCCTTGGTGTTCACGCTGCCCTCCATCATCACCGAGGACATCAAAGGAGAGCATGAGCGCCACCTGTCAGGCTGTATGCTATGATATAGTTACACTCAAACAACTGCTGGGTTATTCCTCTAACTCAAACTGAAGGGAAAGAAGATTAAACAAAAACTGTGTCAAAAAATTGAGAGCTAAAAAGAAGAATGAATCCTCATAGGTTCGCAATTTTGGACTTTTTTTTTTGTTTGCAAAATAAAAGGTTAAGATTAATCTGTGTAACAATGTTCATGTCAGTAGGGTTTGCTATGACTTTAATTCACACCAGAACACAAGTTTGTTCACTTAATCTAACATTAACATTAGCCTTTTACTTGCTCAGCACCCAATAGCTGCTTTTACCAGGTACAGCAACCTAATGCTAGATATATTCAATGTTCATGCTTTGATCAAATCAATATTCCACACAGTGTTATATTCTGAGAATGAAATTTAACTGTTCGTAATGTCTCATTAGTTGGTATGTTACTATCAGTGGCCTAAAGTTTTCAATAATTATGAAATTTACTATGTCGAAAAAGTAAACGAGATGGTTATAATAAATGGCTATGACATGTGGTTTGTTTCCATGTATAAGTAATAGATAAAGGGCTCTATTTGCTGAGGAGACAATTAATCAGGATATACTAATAACCTGTCCTGAAAGTAGCTCATTGACTGCTACAGACAGGCCACATGCCCCCTGCAAGGATAGCGTTTAGAAAAAACTGTATTATTTGTATTATATAGATAATAATAATAATACATCTTATTCAAATATCACTTTGTTTAGTTGTATTTTCTCTATTATCTCTTCAACACTAGCGTTAGACATTAGCCACTTTAACTTATTTTGGGGTTAAAACCTTACTCTGTGTGCTGCGTGAAGCCAATGGTTCAATCCCATCGTGTTAAATAACCTTCAGACTGATAGCAAAATAAAGCTAGTAGTGTTGTTTATAAACCAGCAGTTTTTAGAGTGTAAGGTATAATCAGAGGAACCTTTCCCTACACGACCAGAGTAACTTTGAACAAAAATGTTAGTCTCTGTGTTATTTAAAGTGCTTACATCTCTTATTCTGTTTAATTTTTCTCTCCATGCTACTATTGAAACTGGCTACATATACATGCTACTTAAATTCCCTTTACCCTTTTTTCTTTTTGAAAATATAAAAAAAGCTACAATGCCCTTGTTTAAAATCTGACATCTAGACATTTTCTTGTTGGTGCGTAGTGCCTAATGGTTGCCAACTGGCCTTTCAGGTCCAGAAAGCTTTATTTATGTAAATCTCGGGTGAACTGTTCCCTGTGACTCGGCACTAGCCTTGTCCACCACAGCACTATACTTTATATTCGCAAAGATTTCACCAAACTGCCAACGTTAACATTTTTTTTTCTTACTCCATTTTGGTTTCTGCTAGGCTGTACAAATCCAACCCAACATTTCCGGGTATTTAAAGGAGAGAGAAGCAAACAGATGGGAAGAAGAAGCAGAGAGAAATACAAGGACGAGGACATTGGAAGTCCTTTTGTGATTCTAATTCTGCCTTCCTGAGTTGTTCAGCCTGAAAACACGTTGGTGTCTGTGTGACCAAAAATTAGCAAAAATTAAAAATAAATAAATAAATAAAAACAGGGAGAAACTGAATGCTAAAACTCTGTTTCGTGAGATTTTCCTTGAGCAAGAATAAAGCTTTTGGAGCAACAAGGTTCTCTTTTGAAACTTCTTCTCTGTTTGGAGTGTGGAATGTGAGTGTGATTGTGTGAAACTTGCATGGTCTTCTGATTTTTATACAATACCACTGGCTCTTTCTTCAGTTTCCTTTACTCCACATGACTGCAGACAGCCTTTTCCCTGACTTTCATCCCATTGTCCTGAAGAAAGGGCTTGCTGCACACCTTCACTGCGTTGGCTACAAAGGGTGTTGATAAAATGGGAGATGCAGGAAGAGCATTTGTTGGCCCATTAGTGCACAAGGGACAGCCAGGGGGGGGGTGAAACAGCTCAAAAAAAAAAAAAAAAAAAAAAAAAAAAAAAGTAAGTCTGTTTTTCGCAATCACCACTCACCATTTCTTTGTCTTCTGCTGATCTCCTCATCAGATGTACTGACTATGCATCATCCCAAGTCCTCAACCCTGATTTTATTAGGCACATTTTACCCAAAACATCTTCTACAGTGTTGTGTCAAAGTGATGTGCTGGCTACCATACAAAGAGTTTGGTTAGGAAAGAAAAAAACTAACGTTTTCAAACAATGGTCAAGATTCCTGGTTTAAGAGGAGGTTCAAGTTTATAATCTCATTCTGGAACGTCCTCTTTTTCTCCTGAGGTCTCTGATTGTGGAAGGACTTCCTCTTCCTCCGCCACCGCCGTCTCTTCGGCCTCATCGAGGTCGTCGGCCGACTCGTCCTCTTTGCTCGCCTGCTCCTGCTCCTCCTCCTCCTCGCGGATTGCTGTGATTGAATCTACAGGTTTGTCTAAGCAGCTGGCCTTCTCTTCTTGAGTCTCCTCTGATGTTTCGGCTGCAATCACACGTTTCCACATTTCATGGTTTTCCAGGAGATGCTGTGTGATCTGACAAAAGACCTCCCGTCTGCGCAGCTTTTTGGCTTCTTGCCGCTCTGTGGAAACAAAAGGAAAACTTGCTAGCTAAGCGACTGAAGAAAAAAAAATATGGCTTTTACTCTGTAAAAAAGAATGACGACCATTTGCTGACCATTTTCTTTTTGTTTCATATTGATTTATCATGACGTGCTAAAATAATTATTGTAATGATTGTTACTGTTACAAGGAAGTATTAGGGCTAGTAAATAGAAAAAAGAAAAGAAAACTGGCCTTGGAAGAGTATATTTTCACAAACAAAAAATTAAGGTTTGAAGATTCAATTCATATTTACATGAAGAAACATGAATATTCTCTGTCAAAAAGTCTTACATTTGCAGAAAAAAATCACACTTCCCCATTATCAAAGACACAATTTTACATTAAAACTAGGATGTGTTTGACACTGTGAAGTCAGACATTTGAAAGAGAAAACCTCAGAGTAACTGAGCAGCATTTATCTTTGTGAGGTGTGACTGCAGGACAGCATGCAGTTCTAGCCACATAAGTTATTGCCAAAAGAAAAAAAAAACTGCAATGGATGTTTACATACTTTTGATCATCACTTTTATCGATTTCTTTTCAGGGGCTCTTTCTTTCAAAGTACAGGATCTGGTACCAAGCAGAGAAATTGTATCGTCTTGGTGCAAAGACACAAATGGTGTTGGAGATTTATATTTTTTTTTTTTTTTTTTTACAATTTGTTTGATATAATGAAGTCCTTTTACAATATTCCTTATGATTGAAAGCTGTTTCAAAGGACTGAAAGGATTGAATGTGTGTGAAGAGTCAGTATTTTAAGTATTGACCATCGTTCTCCCCAAAAATATAAAATTTAAGCATAAGAAAATCTTTATAGAACAATAATTGTTTGTGACATAATTTGCCAATTTTCCATTTTTCATAACCATCACTGCTAAATGAGTTCTATTAATTAGGATGCAGACGTACGGGACCCGTCGGAACCTGTTGACGCCTCCTCATCCGCCGTGTCTTCCTCTTCTGTATCGTGTCCTTCCTTTTCCACATCTATCTGAACCGCCTCTTCGGACAGGTCCACCCAGCGCCCTGGCATGAGCGCAGCAGAGTCGTAGGAGGAGCACAGTGGTCCCACTATGTGGGAGATGAATGACTGCTGTAGTTTGGCGAGTTGGGGGGCAGACCGGTCCATGAATGGGCTGATAGGGAGGCCTAAAGTTGCTTCTTCGTCACCCTGGAAGGATGCAGAGAAAGGAATGTAAAAGGGAGAGGAAATACAAAATACACAAGGACTGGAATAATAAACATGTGCATATTATTCAATAAATGCACTTTGACTGAGCCAACATTTTATTTCACTCAATTAAATCTTTTGACAGTGATCGTAAATATATCGCACAGCGGAGACATGATAATCCACAACTTCCAAACTGCATTTATTTTAGCCACTCTTCAAAAGGAGAGAGACAAGGCAACATAATGTCCAAGAAAGTCAAGAAAAGGCAGAAAGAGAATAACTTATCACCAAAACCTTCCCATACATAGTCAGAATAATAAGTGTAAAACTACTGGATGGGGGAAAAAAACCAGTCTGGATAAATACCCATTTGACTATAACCCCACATAGGGAGTAAGTTAAAAATATCCTTCTTTCTCACTAAGAGAAAAGCTATAAAGAGCAAATCTACGCCGCAAAAATTAGATGCTGTTTGCTTGAGAAGAAAACACAAAGTGTGTCCTGCCATCAGACATGTGGAGTTTGGTTAATTGTACAGGAACCTTGACTGTGACGATTTGCTTTGGTCAGATGAGACTAAAAATGTGCATTGTAGTACCAAACTCTCCAAATGGTTCTCAAAGGATCAATAAGTGAAGGATCTCTCTTCCACTATTCGGTACGGTGGAGGATCCATGATGCTGTGATCCCGTTTCTCTTCCGACGGTGAGTACATGGTGTCGTGGCCTTTATAAAGTAACAGAACATTTTACGTAACTGGACTGCACCGGTTACTTGGAAACGGGTTTGATATTATGTCTGTGAGCACAACATTGACTCAGAATATGTGACCCAATGAAAACAGGTACGGCATAAACTTTCTCCCCATGATCAGTCTTTGCACGGAAAAATGGCCTTTATCTCTGAACGCTCCAACTTTGTGCAATTTTAGAAGATTCAGTGTTTTCTTACTGGCAAAAGGGATTGTAGAAAATATAAACAGTGGAGGTAACAATAGGTACAAGTGATTAGGTAAAAAAAAAAATTAAACTATTATTTCTTCTGTTGGCTTAAAAATAGATTTCTTCTTAATTTTTTTGTACATCTTTGGCAGTGGTGCATGTAAAAATGGAGGCTAAAATTGTATCAAATAACACAAAAAAAAAAAAAAACTGTTCAGCCAACTGTGGGTAAACTCCATCTCTGAAATATTATGAATTCAGCTGTCAAGCACTGAGAGTCCCATATATACAGCCCCCGGATACAGTCACTGGAAAGTAGGTCAAGTAGACTACAAATAGAAAAAAGATGAGTTCAAAGTATAACTAATCTTTAGGTGTCAGCCTACAAAATAAAACCGTCTCACTGTCAGAGATTCGGTGCAGCCGTAACGACTCCAATCTGCACATTTTATTCCCACGCGATCAAAACAATTGTGGGCATTAATAACTCTGTCTGAAATTGATCTGCCCCCGTTTCATCTAGTTAACAGATTTACTCATCAGGAAACATAATTGCAGTGCGTGAGTGCATCAATTTCTTCTGTTTCTCGTCCTTGACATGATCCACGCTTCTGCGTCTTCTCATTTTTCATTCAACCAGACACATCACTGCATATCTCAGTTGGAGGATTACCTAGAAGTTGCTCTGAAGATTGAATTCTTGGAACCGCTGCTCCCGTTTTGGTTTTTTAACGGAACCCGAGATAACAAAACGGAGGAAAAAGAAGAAAAAAAAATAAAAGGATTGTTTTATTTGTTCCATCAAATGTTATGACAGTGCAGGATTCTGTTTTGTTGTTTTGTCGGTCTGATGTTACTGCTTTCAAGCCGTACAAAAAGAGGACGGGGGCTGGGGAACAAGGATTCCTATTGCCATGGCAACCAAAAACCTGTATGGCGTCAGTGTGGAGTACTGGTGGATACTGTATACGTCGCATCCAGGCCGGATCACAGCCTACATCATTTTATTAGGCATTAGCGGTGCTCGACATGTCGAAGTGGCATTACGCAGGGTGTGAAACAAATGTGTGTTTACATCTCTGACAAGCTGTGTGAATGTCTGTGATCCGACTCAGCCACTGAATGAGAGCTGCCAATGATGGCACATTTAGGTCATCCTCCCCCTTATATAAAAAAAAAAATAAAAAATCACAAATGCACTCCATCTCTCTTTTGATGCCTCCCAAAAGATTTGAGCTCTGCTGAACTGCGGTTTTAAGTTTGTCATGTAAAATTCCACTTCACTGTTAGTCACAGGAATCCTGTTAGAGCAAATGCCTTTTACATCTTGATAGTAAAAATATTTTATAAATGTTTTTTTTTTTTTTTTTACATGTGCGAATAACATAGAGTTATAAAACTAAACATCCCGGAAACTTAGAAACGGCTACAGCTGCTTCGCAACACGACTATCGCTCCAGCTAATCAGATTTTATCTCTATCCTCCAGGTAGTTCGATGAAGGATTTGTTGCCAAGCATCAGCCTACAATGGCAAATTCATGAGCAGAAAGCGTTCTGAAAATCTGATTCCACGTGTGGTAGGTGCGTACAAAACATCCTTAGTGGAGTGTCCTTAAGCACAAAGCAGCTGTAAATCCCAGTCATATGCAGAGGTACATGCTTTCTGTGTCTCCTTGAACCATCGTCTCCCGCAGGAGGAAGAGAAATTACCTCTTGAGAGAGAAAGGGAATTCAAAACATCAACCTTGCTTTTCATTCCATCCTTTCCTTTGTTATAAATATCAGAAACGGTTCATGGCAACATGGAATCCAAAACCCACTGCCAACTAAAAGGACACGCAAGTCCATCTCACATTTGGCAAAACATGAACTGGTGATCCCCAAGACTTTGATCAATTTTGTAGAAAATTCTGGATCGTAGCTTTAAAGTATGCAACCCCTGCTTTTCCTTTAAAAATATATTTCTGTGATTTAATCTCTTCCTACCAATTAGGCTGCAGATATTTTTCATAAACTCACTTGTTCATAGAACTCGTTGACAATCCCTTCTGTCCACTGCAGATGTAGCTCCTTATTCTTCAAAGGTCCATTGACATCAGCTAGCTTGATGCACATCTGGCACACCAGCAATCGGTCATTCTCATTGGTCCAGTCAATGCCAGATACTCCTTCATCACCAACCTGAGAAGAAAGATGGGCAAACCCCCCCCCCCAAAGAAAAACATGTTGCTTATTGTGTAAGATAATCCAGAAAGAGTTAACCAATCAAGCAAGGTTAGGTAAAACAAAACAAAACAAAACAAAACAAAAAAAAACGGTTATTTACCTTTGCATTAAATTCAGCGAGGAAGTCAAAGTGCTTTTTGAGGTCAGTAGCCAGGATTGCTTCAATGACAAGAAAGCGGAACCGCTTGAACTCCACGTGTTCAAGATTCACCAGGAAGTTGAACTCTGGTCGAGACATGAAGAGGTTCCACGCTGCGGCCGCATGATGGTTTTCCAGCACCGACCTGTCGTTGTACAGAAGAGCCTGCAGCAAAGGAAGGGAGAAAAACACACAACTTGACACAGTGTTCAATAATTCACAGGGGTTCATTACATTATTACAGCCTAATAAGAATGACTTGGGCTTAGCTGTTAAAACAACCCCGATTCATTTGACTGGTGAAGTGACTTCACAGAATTGTTCTGCTAGCTGATAGTTTGTATCTACATTCATGTTTGTTATAAAGTAATTATGTAGGACTAAAAGTACCAAAAATAATGGTAACTTTAGATGAAGAACAGATTGCATAAGCTTTTTTAATAAACGGACGGATGGACTGATGGATGGATGATGAACGAACACATGAATGGTTGAACACAAGAATCGATGAATGGATAATAG